TATGGATAAAGTTAGTTATGAACAGCGTTGAAAAGATTCCTTTGACAATTTTTAGCTAAGCGAAAGGCTGTTTTAGTTAAGAACGGTGTTGAATGAGGTTAATCCTGACTATTTTCAGATGAGAGAAGTGATATTTCAGTTAAGAAATGACAAGGAAACATGATGAAGTAACTATTTTTAGTTGACCGATGAATACTTTTAGTTGAGCAAAAGCCAAAACATGATGAACATGACTTTTTCTGATGATTGGCAGATAATTTTAGTTAAGAATGACAATGAAACATGATGAACACGGTTATTTTCTGATGAATGGGGAATATGTTTAGTTAAGAAATGATGAAAGTTATTATTTTTAGTTGATTGACGATGGATAAAAGCTAGTTATGAACAGTTTTGGAAAGTTTCCTTTGACAATTTTTCTTGATGAAACATAGCGCCTGTTAAGAAAGTGCTGAAAAAGTTTCCTTTGACAATTTTTAGCTAAGAGAAAGGTTGTTTTAGTTAAGAACAGTGTTGAACGAGGCTATTTCTGACTATTTTTAGTTGACTGGATAATAGGTTTAGTTGAGAAATGACGAAAGTGACTATGTTTTAGTTGATTGGCGAAAGATTTTTTTAGTTAAGGAACGTTAAATAACATGTAAAGGGGAAAACCCAGAGAACATATGGTGAACACAGGGGGAACATGGCAAAGAACACATGTAAGAAAAGTTGATGAATACAGTGAACATGCTGGGAATATGAACTTACAGAGAACATGAAAACATGATAAGGAGAATAGGGAATACAAAGAATGAACAATGGACTTGTGAAGAACATGGAGAATATGACAAAGAATGTAGAAAACATGTAAGTGAAGGTGAAAAACGAAGTGATCTTGTGAGGAACATGAACTTGTAGAGGAACATGAATATTGACAAAGAACACAAATATGGAAGTTAGCATGAATATTGAGTATAAAAGTTGTAAAGAGAACATGTGATGAATATGAAAACATAGAAAATATGACTAGAATTTGTAGAGAACATAATGAGACTAAAAAATGGAGATACTTGTGAAAATATGAACTGAATGGGACTGTGAACATTTGTAGAACATGGAGTGAACACGGATGAGAATACGAAGAACACAGTGAATATAGAGAAAATATGCAAATACAGTATGATTATTGAAGGTTTGGATACGTTGGGGATTGATACGTTGGGGATGAGAAGGGTAAAGTAATTACTCAGATAAACAGATAGGCTGGAGAGGGACTTGATCGAATATATTTATGTCTGATGATCTAAGGCTGAGGAAATGGAGCTTTGTTAATGTCCAGATTAATTTTACTACGTTAGAAAATAAGGTGATCTTAAATCTCAGGGTGATTTAGTTGGAAAATAAAGAACTTGCACAAATGAACTAAGCTGGGGCACAAGAGTTGAAACTTGATAACTGAACTGGTTTTTATTTACTATGTCTGAAAATGTAGTTGGGTGATTTGGACTGAGAGTAATGATTTTACAAAAGTGAGCTTGGACAGAGGACAAGAGCTAGTTTTATAATTGTTTACTTCATATTTACTATGTCTGAAATACAGAGGGTAAAAAATTTCAGGGAAATTGATGGTTTATTTACAAAGACTTGAGGGTGGAAGAGGGTGGGGGACGAGAGCTGGAGCTCGATAACTGACTTGATTTTATTTACTAACTTTGAAGTATGTCTGCTTTTAATTTTAGGGAAATTGATGGGTTATTTACAAAGATACGAAAGAGAACTAAGGCGGGGACGAGAGCTGGAGCTCGATAACTGACTTGATTTTATTTACGGTGTCTGAAATACAGAGGGTAGAAATTTCAGGGAAATTGGTGGTTTATTTACAAAGATATGAAAGAGAACTAAGGCGGAGGACAAGAGCTGGAGCTTGGTAACTGTTTTGATCTTATTTATGGTGTCTGAAATACAGAGGCTAAAAATCTCAGGGAATTTGGACTGTTACTAATGATTTTGTACAAATGAACTAAGCTGGGGACAAGAGCTAGAGTTTGATAATTGTTTGCATTTACTAAACTATGTCTGAAATACAGAGGGTAGAAATTTCAGGGAAATTGGACTGATACTAACGAAGATACGAGAGAGAGCTAAGGCGGAGGACAAGAGCTGGAGCTTGGTAACTAAATTACTGTATTGAACTACATTTGAAATATGATTATTTTTAAATTTTAGAGGGATTGGAATGATAGTATTCATTATACGACAGGGACTAAGGTGGGGAACGTGAGCTAGAACTTGCTTACTAACATGATTTATTTGTGTAAAACTGACTTGCTTAATGAAAAGGAGCAAACATACTGACTTGCTTAATGAAAAGGAGCAAACATACGATGTTGGAAAATAGTTGAACTGAACTGAATGAAAGGAGAGAGAGAGAGAGAGGAGGGACGGTCCAGATATTATGAGAAGATAACATAAGATAAGAGGTCTGGCTGACCGGGCGTAAAGTAAACACAGGTGAGGCGACAGATTGCGAGGTAAGGGGGGGGAGGGAGGGGGGTGTGATGTACGAAACCCTGAAAACAATGACTTACACAGGTGATTTTCTAAATTTATATGAATAACTAAGGCTTGCATAGACGATTTTGTAAGTTGAAAACATGTAAAATATGTCCGTAGAGTTCTCCTGGAAGCCCTAAAGTGCTACACACGTTATTTGAATTTCTCCCATAAGGCCTTAACAAACTTCTATGTCTCGGAAATTATTTTTCTCATAAGAACTTTAACAAAACTCGTATGACATTATTTTTCCTCATAAGAATTCCCTAATTCCAAATCTGTGACTCCCCAAATTCACCTGAAAACCATGACACGCTACAGGCCCTTTTTTCCCCTTTGGACCTGAAAACCATGACACGCCACAGGCCCTTTTTTTTTCCCCTTTGGACCTGAAAACCATGACACGCCACAGGCCCTTTTTTTCCCCAGAAAAAAAAAAGGGCCTGTGGCGTGTCAACCCTACTACTGGTAGGTACTGGCCAGTGTGGCAGCGCACATATATAATATACATATTATATATGTATATATATAATATATAATATATATATAATATATATATATAATATATATATATAATATATATATATATATATATAATAATATATAAATATATATATATATATATATATATATATATATATATATATATATATATATATATATATATATATATATATATATAATATATATTATATATATATATATATATATATTATATATATAATATATATTATATATATATATATATAATATATATATATATAATATATATATATTATATATATATATATTATATATATATATTATATATAATATATATATATATATATACAATACCGGGAGGCCTGGTCAGAGACCGAGCCATGGGCCATTGATCCCCGAAACCTACACAAGATAGAGACAAAATAAATAATGTGTGTTTATTTTCGGGGTTGCATCAAAACGAGCAAGGGAACGTGCAGATTGACTTGCATGTAATACTCACGTGTTGGAGTATCAAAATACAGAACAACTTGTGAGGTAACATATGTTATGTGGATAAATTTGTCAGGTGTAGGAAGTTAGTGAGACATTTAACAGTGATAACAGAACAGGTCTGGAAAAAATATCAGTGTCGCATATGGGCTTGTCGGATTTAGAAATTTTATGTTGACGGATTTGGATTTGTTTGTTGGCGAATTTGAATTTTTTTGTTGGTGGATTTTGAATTTTTTTTTGGCGATTTTATAATTTTTTGTTAGCAAATTTGAACTTTTTGTTGGCGAGTTTGGATTTTTTAGTTGCCTGATTTGGAATTTTTTATGGCAGATTTGGAATGCGTTTGTGTTCGCGTGTTTAGATTTATTGTTTGCAGATTTGATTTTTGGGAGGATTTGGATTTTGTTTTGTTTGCCGATTTGGATTTTGTTGTTGGCGGATTTGGATTTTTTTGTTGACCGATTTGGAATTTTTTAGTTTGCGGATTTGGATTTTTTGGTTGGCGGATATTGAATATTTTTGTCAGCGGATTTGGATTTTTTTGTCAGATTTGAATTTTTTTGTTGGCAGATTTTGAATTTTTTGTTAGCCATTTGGATTTTTTCTTGTCAGATTTAAAATTTTGTTGTTACTGATTTGGGATTTTTGGCTGGCAGACTTGGAATTTATAGTCAGTGGAATTAGATTTTTTGTTGGCGAATTTGGAATTTCAAGTCTTGTCCCATACTTTCTGGAGAAGTGATAGATATAGGCTCCTCTATTTACATGGTGGTATCTAAAGTCTGTTGTGGCAGTCCCGCTTACTCGTGTGCCTCTCCTGTGACTGTGCACCACACTGGGTGACGGGACCTGTCGTTCATCCCCCCCCCCCCCCTACCCTCAGCCTGTGTGTGGAACCCCCCTCCCCCCCTACCCTCAGCCTGTGTGTGGAACCCCCCTCCCCCCCCGTCCTCTACACGCAGCTAACATATCGCGAATAAATTAATGTTTAGGTATGATTATAAATTATTATTGTTTTATATCTGTAAAACGTTTATATTTATAATAAAGATAATGTATGATAGTTATGAAAACGCCCGGCCAGGCTTCTTCATAACTTGGGCTCGCAGTCACATAAACTCAGGTTTTAAAGGTAAAATTATTGTCAACAACAATTATTGTGGGGCCTCGTAGCCTGGTGGATAGCGCGCAGGACTCGTGATTCTGTGGCGCGGGTTCGATTCCCGCACGAGGCAGAAACAAATGGGCAAAGTTTCTTTCACCCTGAATGTCCCTGTTACCTAGCAGTAAATAGGTACCTGGGTGTTAGTCAGCTGTCACGGGCTGCTTCCAGGGTGGAGGCCTGGTCGAGGACCGGGCCGCGGGGACACTAAAGCCCCGAAATCATCTCAAGATAACATTAAGATAAATAGTTTATAATTATCTGTTCTTTTCATTGTTCCTGTTTCTGAACATCTCTAATTTGTATTATCCTTGCTGTACCTCAGTTACAGAAGTGGACGAGTTCAGAGGTGAGGGTGGAGGAGAGGAGTTGGTGTGGGTGCTGGGGGATGCGACCCGGGAGGGGGAGGTGGAGGTGACCTGGAGCCTCCACACCCAGAGGTTGACTGCCACACTCGCTGACGCCGCCGCCCTCCTCACGCAGGTCTCCACCACCGTGTTTGTTTACCTACTTCCACTTGCATAACATTTATTCGGGGCTGGATTAACCCTTAATTAAGCAATATTACATGCTTAGAGCATCAAGGGAAGGTCGCAGGACAGAAAATTTCCATTACCATGGTCCATGTGGTACAAAACAGTAAATGGTGCAGCTGAACCCATTTCCACCCAAAGGGGCCCCCATAATAAATGAAAAAATGACAAACAACATATACAACAATACAAATAATGAGAAAACCAATTGTAGCAATGAGGTGTCTTGATCAAGCGATCAATATACTCCCAGCCGCACATCTTACCTCTGTACTACGACTTGCTATAATTTAAACAACCGATGTTCCACTGAATCAACTGGCAGTCTGGACGCTTCTGCTGAAGCCAGTCCAAGTTTACATATGCAGTCCCCGTGGCGAAGTGGTAACACTCGCCCGGCGTTTCGCAAGCGCTTTGACCTGGGTTCGTATCCTGGCCGGGGAGGATTTACTTGGCGCCAATCCTTAACTGTAGCCTCTTTGCAAATGACATTGCAAATAAGATGCAGGAACTAAAATTAATTTTTATGTTGAATGTGAGGGGTGAAATTTTGCTAAATTTTCCGAGGAAGCCAACAAGGTCTGCAGAACGAAGATGTAAAGTTAAAACCAAAGCTGACCAACTGTGCACTTCACGAGATGACTTTGAAACATACGAAGGAAATGCTTCCAGACGTTGATTACAAGGCTCCTCAAACTCCCAAAAGTTTTAAACCTCGTCATCTACAGAAACTGGAAGGTACTCTCAGTGTTGTCAGAAGCTGATTGTGCTTACCCAGAGAACTTGAGCACCAAGTTCTCAGCTTGAAGCTGAGGTGAAGTTAAACTTTACCATTTACACTCATGTGGACGCCATAAGTTCAGTCCAACATAAATATAAAAATAAGATTCAGTTACACTGAACTTAATAAAATAATTGTATAAGGCAATGTTAAGAGTACCTTTACAATGTAGACATTTGTTTGGTATATTTTAAACATTAATGGTTACAAATTGTTCAGCAGCGTTCATTATACTCCAGATGAAGTATATTAAACCCGCAGGAGACCAGCCAGGCAACACGGCGGGCTGGAGGCCTCTACCAAGCACAGCAGCACATGTAACATTAGTCTTGTGGATCTGATCAAAGACTTGACTCTTAGAACAAGCAGGAGAAAACTCTTCAAACATAAATAAAGTGGAACTATACAGAAGGAACATTATTTTACATCTTAATTTTGCTTCATTTCGAAATAATTAATTTAATTTTACGGTTAAGTATTGTATATATTTTGAATGAGATATTTAAGGGAGCATCAGAATCTTTGAAATACTCAAGGCCTCTGAAGGTCTTAATCCGGCCCTGCATTTATTATGTGTTTTTGTTTAATTCTGTAATAATTCTGAAAACTGTGTGAAAACACAACATTAAAAATTAAAAATAAGATTAGCATAATGACATAAAATTCAACATTTACAGTGACTAAATGTTCATGACTTATAAAGCCAGAGCCCATCTGCGAGGGTGTTAGTGTGTGTGTGTTCAAGACATGTGTAAGAGTGTGTTGTTAAGGGAGCGGCGTTGTTGTTGTTGCAGGCGGCCTCCCACCCGGGGGCGTGCGGCCCGGACCCCGCCCACCAGCCCTCCTTCAGGCACGTCCTGGAGAGACTGTTGGGGCACGACCCGTCCCTCCTCTGGCACCAACTTCTACGTCAGGTAATTTAGCAAAATGGTAAATTCATGTCATTTGGCTGCTACACTTACTGTAGTGTAGTCCTTGCTGTAGGCTGCTCCACTTACTGTACTGTAGTCCCTGCTGTAGGCTGCTACACTTACTGTACTGTAGTCCCTGCTGTAGGCTGCTACACTTACTGTACTGTAGTCCTTGCTGTAGGCTGCTCCACTTACTGTACTGTAGTCCCTGCTGTAGGCTGCTACACTTACTGTACTGTAGTCCCTGCTGTAGGCTGCTACACTTACTGTACTGTAGTCCCTGCTGTAGGCTGCTACACTTACTGTACTGTAGTCCATGCTGTAGGCTGCTACACTTACTGTACTGTAGTCCCTGCTGTAGGCTGCTACACTTACTGTACTGTAGTCCCTGCTGTAGGCTGCTACACTTACTGTACTGTAGTCCATGCTGTAGGCTGCTACACTTACTGTACTGTAGTCCCTGCTGTAGGCTGCTACACTTACTGTACTGTAGTCCATGCTGTAGGCTGCTACACTTACTGTACTGTAGTCCCTGCTGTAGGCTGCTACACTTACTGTACTGTAGTCCCTGCTGTAGGCTGCTACACTTACAGTACTGTAGTCCCTGCTGTAGGCTGCTACACTTACTGTACTGTAGTCCCTGCTGTAGGCTGCTACACTTACTGTACTGTAGTCCCTGCTGTAGGCTGCTACACTTACTGTACTGTAGTCCCTGCTGTAGGCTGCTACACTTACCGTACTGTAGTCCATGCTGTATGCTGCTACACTTACTGTACTGTAGTTCCCTGCTGTAGACTACTGAACTACCACACAAGTGTTCAACAGCATCACCGCATTACTCCTTTTGTTGACTACCTCATATGTTCAAATATTTAATAAAACGCTAAACATTTAATTAGTGTTGGCTAGTTCAGTAGAAACATAACTTGTAATATTATGCTTGTAAAAGCTAAATGCTTCTATTGATAAACATTTGACTATTGTTCAATATACGAGGTTTTATTGTGTAATAATGTGAATCTCACACACACACACACACACACACACACACCTCAGGAGATAGATTAGGTGTTACGTCCACCCCCAGGTCTCTTTCACGCGTCGTTACAGGTAGGCTGTTCCCCTTCATTGTGTACTGTCCCTTCGGTCTCCTATCTCCTAGTCCCATTTCCATAACTTTACATTTGCTCGTGTTGAATTCTAGTAGCCATTTCTCTGACCATCTCTGCAATCTGTTCAGGTCCTCTTGGAGGATCCTGCAATCCTCATCTGTCACAACTCTTCTCATCAACTTTGCATCATCCGCAAACATCGACATGTAGGACTCTACGCCTGTAAACATGTCGTTAACATATACAAGAAATAGAATTGGTCCCAGCACCGATCCTTGTGGTACTCCACTTGTTACTGTTCGCCAGTCCGACTTCTCGCCCCTTACCGTAACTCTTTGGCTCCTTCCTGTTAGGTAGTTCCTTATCCATTCTAGGACCTTTCCCCCACCCCCGCCTGCCTCTCGAGCTTGAACAGCAGTCTCATGTGCGGTACTGAGACTGCTGTTCAAGCTCGAGAGGCAGGCGGGGGTGGGGGGAAAGGTCCTAGAATGGATAAGGAACTACCTAACAGGAAGGAGCCAAAGAGTTACGGTAAGGGGCGAGAAGTCGGACTGGCGAACAGTAACAAGTGGAGTACCACAAGGATCGGTGCTGGGACCAATTCTATTTCTTGTATATGTTAACGACATGTTTACAGGCGTAGAGTCCTACATGTCGATGTTTGCGGATGATGCAAAGTTGATGAGAAGAGTTGTGACAGATGAGGATTGCAGGATCCTCCAAGAGGACCTGAACAGATTGCAGAGATGGTCAGAGAAATGGCTACTAGAATTCAACACGAGCAAATGTAAAGTTATGGAAATGGGACTAGGAGATAGGAGACCAAAGGGACAGTACACAATGAAGGGGAACAGCCTACCTGTAACGACGCGTGAAAGAGACCTGGGGGTGGACGTAACACCTAATCTATCTCCTGAGGCACATATTAATAGGATAACGACAGCAGCGTACTCTACACTGGCAAAGTTAGAACATCATTCAGAAACCTAAGTAAGGAGGCATTTAGGGCGCTTTACACTGCCTACGTAAGGCCAGTCTTAGAGTATGCCGCCTCATCATGGAGTCCCCATCTGAAGAAACATATAATGAAACTGGAAAAGGTTCAGAGGTTTGCAACGAGACTCGTCCCAGAGCTACGAGGGATGGGGTATGAAGAGCGCCTGAGGGAATTGTGCCTTACGACACTAGAAAGAAGAAGGGAGAGGGGGGACATGATAGGAACGTATAAGATACTCAGAGGAATTGACAGAGTGGACATAGACGAAATGTTCACACGGAATAGTAACAGAACGAGAGGACATGGATGGAAGCTTGAAACTCAGATGAGTCACAGAGATGTTAGGAAGTTTTCTTTTAGCGTGAGAGTAGTGGGGAAATGGAATGCACTTCAGGAACAGGTTGTGGAAGCAAATACTATTCATAATTTTAAAACCAGGTATGATAGGGAAATAGGACAGGAGTCATTGCTGTAAACAACCGATGCTCGAAAGGCGGGATCCAAGAGTCAATGCTCGATCCTGCAGACACAACTAGGTGAGTACAACTAGGTGAGTACACACACACACACACACACACACACACACACACACACACACACACACTGGTAGATAAAGACAGTCTATTTAACACAAGGGGAACACGCACAAGGGGACACAGGTGGAAACTGAGTGCCCAAATGAGCCACAGAGATATTAGAAAGAACTTTTTTAGTGTCAGAGTGGTTGACAAATGGAATGCATTAGGAAGTGATGTGGTGGAGGCTGACTCCATACACAGTTTCAAGTGTAGATATGACAGAGCCCGATAGGCTCATGAATCTGTACACCTGTTGATTGACGGTTGAGAGGCGGGACCAAAGAGCCAGAGCTCAACCCCCGCAAACACAACTAGGTGAGTACAACTAGGTGAGTACACACACACACACACACAGGGAGGGTAAATCTTTCCTTACAGGCTTGATAGAATTCTACGATCAGGTGACAAAGATTAAGCAAGAAAGAGAGGGCTGGGCGGACAGCATTTTCTTGGATTGTCGGAAAGCCTTTGACACAGTACCGCATAAGAGGCTGGTACATAAGCTGGAGAGACAGGCAGGTGTAGCTGGTAAGGTGCTCCAGTGGATAAGGGAGTACCTAAGCAATAGGAAGCAGAGAGTTACGGTGAGGGGTGAGACCTCCGATTGGCGTGAAGTCACCAGTGGAGTCCCACAGGGCTCTGTACTCGGTCCTATCTTGTTTCTGATATATGTAAATGATCTCCCAGAGGGTATCGATTCATTTCTCTCAATGTTTGCAGACGATGCTAAAATTATGAGAAGGATTAAAACAGAAGAGGACTGTTTGAGGCTTCAAGAAGACCTAGACAAGCTGAAGGAATGGTCGAACAAATGGTTGTTAGAGTTTAACCCAACCAAATGTAATGTAATGAAGATAGGTGTAGGGAGCAGGAGGCCAGATACAAGGTATCATCTGGGAGAGGAAATTCTTCAGGAGTCAGAGAAGGAAAAAGACTTGGGGGTTGATATCACGCCAGACCTGTCTCCTGCAGCACATATCAAGCGGATAACATCAGCGGCATATGCCAGGCTGGCCAACATACGAACGGCATTCAGAAACTTGTGTAAAGAATCATTCAGACCTTTGTATACCACATATGTCAGGCCAATCCTGGAGTATGCAGCCCCAGCATGGAGTCCATATCTAGTCAAGCATAAGACTAAACTGGAAAAGGTTCAAAGGTTTGCCACCAGACTAGTACCCGAGCTGAGAGGTATGAGCTACGAGGAGAGACTACGGGAATTAAACCTCATTTCGCTGGAAGACAGAAGAGTTAGGGGGGACATGATCACCACATTTAAGATTCTGAAGGGAATTGATAGGGTAGATAAAGACAGTCTATTTAACACAAGGGGAACACGCACAAGGGGACACAGGTGGAAACTGAGCGCCCAAATGAGCCACAGAGATATTAGAAAGAACTTTTTTAGTGTCAGAGTGGTGGACAAATGGAATGCATTAGGAAGAGATGTGGTGGAGGCTGACTCCATACACAGTTTCAAGTGTAGATATGATAGAGCCCGATAGGCTCAGGAATCTGTACACCTGTTGATTGACGGTTGAGAGGCGGGACCAAAGAGCCAGAGCTCAACCCCCACAAACACAACTAGGTGAGTACAACTAGGTGAGTACACACACACACATCATCCCAGTAGGAATAATACTTATTTGCTTTATAAATTAATGAAGGCTTATTTGGTTAAGTTTATAACTTTCTGACTTATATTGCTGAGATGAGAGTATCTTCATGTGACATCTTCACTTGCTAGCCACTCTTCCACTCTTCCTCAGGGGTCTCGCCTGCTGCATCGGGTTGATAAGGTTCCAGAGCTGCACTACTTGTGGGAGGCGCTGGAGGAGGAGTTAGGGCTTGGAGAGTCCAAGTCGTCCTCGAATGATTATAACGGTAATGTAATAACGTGTTTGTAAATATTGCTCTTTTTGCATGGTTATTCCTGCGCGGCCCCTAAGCCTATGGCTGGCCCAGTAAGTGGCATTAATATATACATCTGTGACATACATGGCAATATTACAAACCACATCACCAACTTTGCAGATGACACTAAGATCTCTGGTAAAGTGGAATGCGAAAATAATATTGATGCCTTTATAAAGAGATCTACATAAACTCCACGAATATCAGAAGACTGGCAAATGCCTTACAATATTGAAAATTGCAAGACCTTGCCTGTAGGACATAATACACATCACAACTATCAAATATGTAACAATCAATCATTACTTTTCAGCAGATTGATGAAGAAAATTACCCAGTAGTCATTATCCATCGGTAATTGAAAATTGTACAGCAAGTGGAAGCTGGAGTAAAAAAAAAATAGAAATAGTCAAACGAAGCTTTGAATTCGCAAGTCTGTGGCGCGCCCCTATTTGGACTATTGTATCCAAGCATGGAGACTTCACCTTCAAAAGGACAGATTTGCCTTGGAGAATGTTTAACTCGGGACGACAAAAATCATCCCAGAACTAAGTGGACTCCCATACCAGGAACGGCCACGGGACTACCACTGTACACCACACATGACAAGGCTCACCTCATCCAGACTAACAACAGTTAGGAGGATATTATTTCAGACCACGTGTTTAAGATTTGCCTTGGAGAATGTTTAACACGGGGCGACACACACACACACACACATGTGTGGTGCCCATATCTTAAGAAGCACATCAACAAACTGGAAAAGGTGCAAAGACATGCTACGAAGTGGCTCCCAGAACTGAAGCGCAAGAGCTACGAGGAGAGGTTGGAAGCATTAAACATGCCAAAACTAGAAGACAGAAGAAAAAGAGGTGATATGATCACTACATACAAAATAGTAACAGGAATTGATAAAATCGACAGGGAAGATTTCCTGAGACCTGGCACTTCAAGAACAAGAGGTCATAGATTTAAACTAGCTAAACACAGATGCCGAAGAAATATAAGAAAATTCACCTTCGCAAATAGAGTGGTAGACGGTTGGAACAAGTTAAGTGAGAAGGTGGTGGAGGCCAAGACCGTCAGTAGTTTCAAAGCGTTATATGACAAAGAGTGTTGGGAAGACGGGACACCACGAGCGTAGCTCTCATCCTGTAACTACACTTAGGTAATTACACACACACATATATATATATATATATATATATATATATATATATATATATATATATATATATATATTTATATATATTTATATATATATATATATATATATATATATATATATATATATATATATATATATATATATATATATATATATATATATATATTTTACTAATGTGAACAAGCTTGAATGGTCCCCAAGCATATATACAAATGAAAACTCCACACCCTAGAAGTGACTCGAACCCGGACCTCCAGGAACACATCGCAACTGGTGTCACGGTGCCTTAATCCACTCGACCATCAGTGACCTCGCATAAGGGAGTGACAGCCGAAGCTATTTGACCTCCTCCCCCCCCCCCTCCGGCGGCACTTTGATGGCTATCAAATAGCTTCGGTTATCACTCCCTTATGTGCAGTCACTGATGGTCGAGTGGATTAAGGCACCGTGACACCAGTTGCAATGGCCAATAGGCCTTCTGCAGTTCTTATGCTGCTCTTATTTGTATCCACCTAATTCCCATTCATTCTTCATTGTACCTCACCTCACTTTACCTCTCTCTCCTGCCTATATATATGTCCAATCCTTGACTTGTAAATCATTCCTTCTGAAGATGTATTACTATACGAAAGTACTTAAGAAAATTCCTGTTTCAATTCTTCCTCCGTGGTCTGACACTCGACCATCATATGACACTGTCATATATATATATATATATATATATATATATATATATATATATATATATGTGTGTGTGTATATCACGAAAATAAACACGTGATTAAGAATGTGACAATGTCAGACCACGGAGGAAAAATGAAACAGGAAATTTCCTTAAGTACTTTCGTATATTAAATACATCTTCAGAAGGTCATTTTACAGATCGAGTGATGGGTATAAATAGGCAGGAGAGAGTGGTGAAGTGAGGTGAGGTACAATACTTGGACAACGCAGAAGGCCCATTGGCCCATCAGATGCACCCAATTAGCCCATCCGATGTAGCCCAATGGCCCATCTGATACAGCAAACATACAAGCATAATACATAGGTAATTATAACATAAAGAGGTAAATATATACAATAAATTAGTGAGACAAATGTTTTTTCAATGATTCTACTTAAATCGCCCTTTAGCTGATCTATTAGAAATGGATCTAAGTTATATAGACCACTGCTAATATTCAAATTACTTTCTTTGGTGATCTGTATCAAAGCGGATTCAATTATGTTTCTGTTATAGGTGCTTTTACAATTTGTTATTGAAGACGCACTCTCCCAATCAATTTGGTGAGCGTTTTCTGACAAATGCACAACAAAGCATTAGATAATTGGCCATGTCTTACAGAGTATTTATGTTGCGATATTCTACATTTTAAATCTTTAGATGTTTGCCCGACATAGAACTTATTACATTCCTTACAAGGTATTTTATAAATGACGCAATTATCACTACGAGGGCTGTTCCTTACTAATAGCTTACCAACAGTGTTTTCGTAGCTAAACATTACATCTATATTAAAAAGTTTTAAGGCCTTGACAATATTCTCAAACCCAGAGAAATATGGTAAACATAGCACATTCTTTGGGCGAGTCCTTTCACTGCATACATTATTATAATATGTACGACGAGCTTTGTTACGACAAACTTCCAAAAAATTCAGTGGGTAACAAAGCTTAAGACCAATCGAATCAATATTCTTAAATTCTTCATCTAAGAATTCTGGACTCACAACTCGAAGAGCTCTTAGATACATTGAAGAAAAAATTTACTTTTTTACATTGTATTTATGCCCTGAAAAATAATGAACATAAGATAAATTATGTTCATTAAAATTAGACATTCTGAATTATATATCTCTGTACTCTAAAGTCTTCTGTAACGTACTCGCTACTCACCTACCTGTGCTTGCTGGGGTTGAGCTCTGGCTCTTTGGTCCCGCCTCTCAACTGTTAATCAACTGGTGTACAGATTCCTGAGCCTACTGGACTCTATCATAACTACATTTGAAACTGTGTATGGAGTCAGCCTCCACCACATCACTGCCAAATTAATATATATATATATATATATATATATATATATATATATATATATATATATATATATATATATATATATATATATATATATATATAATATATATAACTGAAATCGCAATAGCCGTCATATATATATATATATATATATATATATATATATATATATATATATATATATATATATATATATATATTATATATATATATATATATATATATATAACTGAAATCACAATAGCCGTTCTTAACTAGTAACATATTAAACATGATTTATATTTCGCATTAACTTGTAACCCAATAGCAGAAGTGGTGCAGCGGACACCGTGGGCGTATATATGGGCGGTGGCAGAGCAGCTGGGGGTGGTGAAGGAGAGGAGAGAGGGCGCAGGCGTCGTGGTGTACACTGGCCGGCTGCTGGAGGCAAGCAAGCTGGCTCTGGTGAGTTGACTTATGATCTATATTCTCTTGTCACTCGTTATATTAATAAGGATGAGATGAACCATACGCTTCTTTCTCTTGTAATCATTTTATAGTTCTAAAAAATATAGTTTTTGAAGATATTATTGACATTCTGAATTATATATCTCTGTACTCTAAAGTCTTCTGTAACGTACTCGCTACTCACCTACCTGTGCTTGCTGGGGTTGAGCTCTGGCTCTTTGGTCCCGCCTCTCAACTGTTAATCAACTGGTGTACAGATTCCTGAGCCTACTGGACTCTATCATAACTACATTTGAAACTGTGTATGGAGTCAGCCTCCACCACATCACTGCCAAATTAATTTAATTTGTTATCTACTTTGACACTGAAAAAATTCTTTCTAACGTCTCTGTGGCTCATTTGGATACTCATTTTCCACCTGTGTCCCCTTGTTTCTGTTCCACCCGTGCTAAACAGTTTGTCTTTGTCCACCCTGTCAATTCCCCTGAGAATTTTGTATGTGGTTATCATGTCTCCCTTTGTCCTTCTGTTTTCCAGGGACGTGAGGTTTAGCTCCCTTAGCCTTTCCTCGTAGCTCATACCTCTCAGTTCTGGGACCAGTCTGGTGGCATACCTCTGAAACTTCTCTAACTTTGTCTTGTGTTTAATTAACTAGGTATGGACTCCAAGCAGGACCTGCATATTCCAGGATTGGTCTGACATAAGTGGTATACAAGGTCCTGAACAATTCCTTACACAAGTTTCTAAAAGCAGTTCTTATGTTGGCCAATCTAGCAAATGCCGCTGATGATGTCCTTTTGATGAACTATATATATATATATTTGGGGTTCTGGGGACAGGTTCGGTGTGATATCAACCCCCAGACTCCTCCTATTTCTCCTCTCTATATATCTGTCTCAGAATTGGTAATATTGGATTTACAGTCATCGTTTCTAGTGAATAAATCAAGGGACTTGACCAGGCACCTTTCACCGATTATGCAAGGGGGGATCGTTAATGGGCCCGACACCTCTTAATAAAATGAATAGGACTGATATCAACCAGCCTATGTCCGTCCCATACCCCAGATCATTCACCATGCAAAGTTGGGTGAAGCTAGCCCCAGGCAGCTGGCCTCCAGCCTTGGGCAGACAAACATGCATTCTCTCATATATATACTAAGAGGTGTTCCCAGCGGAGCCTGGGATACTCTGTCTCTCCCTCCACTCCCCATTCCATGCCTCTTTTCTTCTTCATTCCCTCCTTTCCCTCCTCCCCATAATGCCTCCCATCTCCCCCATTTTCCCCCAATAAAACACACAGGTGTGTGTTTTATTGCCCCTCAGATCTCTTAAACAAAGTCAGTACTTAACAAGAAAATGAAATATTTCGAAAAGTAATAATGGGAACGTGAGTCTAGGCCTTTTGCACTGCTCATAAAAATGGTAATTAAATATAATTAGAGTTATAGAGGGAGAACATCAATCACAGGGAGAACACCATCAACAACAGGGAGAACACCATCAACAACAGGGAGAACACCATCAACAACAGGTAGAACACCATTAACACAGGGAGAACAAAGTCAACTTCAGTTACCGTCAGTAGGGAAATGTATGACTAGAACCGTCCCCTCCATCAGACCTTGCAACACTGCAAGGTTACACTGTGCAACATGGGGGAAGTAAGATGAACAGGTTGTGGTTGTAGCTGCTGGTAGAGGAGTGTCGGAGGGCATGCTTGTTGTGTCATGGTGGTGAGCCAGAGAAATATTCTATAATAGCTATAATGCTTTATAGACATAGTTCTGGAGGACAGTATATGTGTACTTAGTCGTTCATGTCCTCTCTGTTGTTGGTGTTCTCCCTGTTGTTGATGGTTTTTCCCTGTTGTTGATGGTGTTCTCCCTGTTGTTGATGGTGTTCTCCCTGTTGTTGATGTTGTTCTACCTGTTTTTTTTTGGCAGGGATATTCCTGCGCGGGCCCTAAGCCTCTGGCTGGCCCACTAAGTGTTGCTTGTTTCTGTTTTACTTGGGCGGAGTATGAGTATTTATGACTCGTATGGTCGCTTCAGTAAGATTTTGCCATATGTGTTTAACAACTTCTTCTGCTCTGTTGAATCTAAGTTGAAATCTTAATGGGTTTGTAACTGTGCACTGTGTTAGATAATGTTCCAGTGGTGTGTTGTGGTTGTAACTGTGCGCTGTGTTAGATAATGTTCCAGTGGTCTGTTGTTGATGTAACTGTGCACTGTGTTAGATAATGTTCCAGTGGTCTGTTGTGGATGTAACTGTGTGTTCGCATGATCTGACCTCAGGTCACTTGGTGGTCATTAACTCTTAGAGGTGTGAGATTCAGGCCGCCAGAATGGCGCCTGTCAAATCCTTGTCTGTGACTCATGTATCTCTATGTATTTTAAATACAACTAAACCAAACACCTTACAGTGTTACAAGATAATGTTCCAGTGGTCTGTCGAGCATTTCTCCACAGTGATGACATTCTGTTGTTGTTGTTCTCCCTGTTGTTGTTGGTGTTCTCCCTGTTGTTAGTGGTGTTCTCCCTGTTGTTGTTGTTCTCCCTGTTGTTAGTGGTGTTCTCCCTGTTGTTAGTGGTGTTCTCCCTGTTGTTAGTGGTGTTCTCCCTGTTGTTAGTGGTGTTCTCCCTGTTGTTGTTGGTGTTCTCCCTGTTGTTAGTGGTGTTCTCCCTGTTGTTAGTGGTGTTCTCCCTGTTGTTAGTGGTGTTCTCCCTGTTGTTAGTGGTGTTCTCCCTGTTGTTAGTGGTGTTCTCTCTGTTGTTAGTGGTGTTCTCCCTGTTGTTGTTGGTGTTCTCCCTGTTGTTAGTGGTGTTCTCCCTGTTGTTGTTGTTAGTGGTGTTCTCCCTGTTGTTGTTGGTGTTCTCCCTGTTGTTGTTGGTGTTCTCCCTGTTGTTAGTGGTGTTCTCCCTGTTGTTAGTGGTGTTCTCCCTGTTGTTGTTGTTCTCCCTGTTGTTAGTGGTGTTCTCCCTGTTGTTAGTGGTGTTCTCCCTGTTGTTGTTCTCTCTGTTGTTAGTGGTGTTCTCCCTGTTGTTAGTGGTGTTCTCCCTGTTGTTGTTGGTGTTCTCCCTGTTGTTAGTGGTGTTCTCCCTGTTGTTGGTGCTCTCCCTGTTGTTAGTGGTGTTCTCCCTGTTGTTAGTGGTGTTCTCCCTGTTGTTAGTGGTGTTCTCCCTGTTGTTGTTGTTCTCTCTGATGTTAGTGGTGTTCTCCCTGTTGTTGGTGGTGTTCTCCCTGTTGTTGGTGTTGTTCTCCCTGTTGTTGGTGGTGTTCTCTCTGTTGTTGGTGGTGTTCTCCCTGTTGTTGGTGGTGTTCTCCCTGTTGTTGGTGGTGTTCTCCCTGTTGTTGGTGGTGTTCTTTCTGTTGTTGGGGTTCTTCCCGTTGTTGGTGTTCTTTCTGTTGATGATGGTGTTCTCCCTGTTGTTGGTGTTCTCCCTGTTGTTGTTGGTGTTCTTTATGTTGATGATGGTGTTCTCCCTGTTGTTGATGGTGTTTTCCATGTTGTTGGTGTTCTCCCTGTTATTGGTAGTGTTCTCCCTGTGGTTGTTGGTGTTCTCCCTGTTGTTGGTGGTGTTCTCCCTGTTGTTGGTGGTGTTCTCCCTGTTGTTGATGGTGTTCTCCCTGTTATTGGTAGTGTTCTCTCTGTTGTTGTTGTTCCCCCTGTTGTTGTTGGTGTTCTCCCTGTTGTTGATGTTCTCCCTGTTGTTGATGTTCTCCCTGTTGGTGTTTTCCCTGTGGTTGATGGTGTTTGTAAGCTTTATATACATTCTGTCTATGGTGACGGCACTGGAAGCTTTACTAGTGATCACTACATCAGTAACTTGCAGTTTCGTGAACCGCTAGTTACTGAAGTGTAGTTCAGTGTTACTGTAGTTTAAACTGTTATGTTGCTGAAGTGTATGTGTACTCACCTTGTTGTGCATGCGGGGTTTGTGCTTTGGCTCTTTGGTCCCGCCTCTCAACTGTGTGTTATTCATCGTTTTGTAACTATTAGATTTTCAAGATATATGAACTGTTCCTTTCTCCTTGAAGACATTTCCCACTGTAGTTAGGAGCAACAATTACAGTTCTAAATATATTAATAGTTTTAGAAAAAAATTACATATTAATGCAAAATTATTCATACAATTGATATAAACCTAACTTTTTTTCTTGCAGAACTTCTGGGAGGAGGTGGCGGGGGCGGGTGTGTGTGGTGGCGCCCTCCAGGGGGCGGGCCTGGCAGACCTGCTGGCCTCGCTCCTCAAGCTCTCGTGTCTTCATAACTGATGGTACTCTACTACGCCTTTCATTGAGAGTCAACGGCAGTATCCTGCAACTTAGAATATTATAGTAATATTCATACACATAAACATATTCATGAGAGGTATAACTAATGCAAAGAATCTGTAAAGTATGAATAATTTTGTGACATCCCGTCCTCATGACTCAAGCAAGTGTCATATATTAGTACAGGCTTCAGTTTCATGTCCTCATATATATGCACTACTATAAGGACTAGGTACTAAAGTATCCTTCAGTATCTTCACAGACACGTTGTTAAGTAAAGATTATACCAAACTATACAACTCAGCTGGTGATAAAGCCAGTCACAACTATAGGCCAGACAAAGGGGCGGTACACACAAATCACTCAAACATCTGCTACTACAACCCTGGACCACATGTGGACCAACATTAACCCCCCCCCCATCCCTAGCACAACCCTGCACCACATGTGGACCAACATTAACCCCCCCCCATCCCTAGCACAACCCTGGACCACATGTGGACCAACATTAACCCCCCCCCATCCCTAGCACAACCCTGGACCACATGTGGACCAACATTAACCCCCCCCCCATCCCTAGCACAACCCTGGACCACATGTGGACCAACATTAACCCCCCCCCCCATCCCTAGCACAACCCTGGACCACATGTGGACCAACATTAACCCCCCCCCCATCCCTAGCACAACCCTGGACCACATGTGGACCAACATTAACCCCCCCCATCCCTAGCACAACCCTGGACCACATGTGGACCAACATTAACCCCCCCCCATCCCTAGCACAACCCTGGACCACATGTGGACCAACATTAACCCCCCCCCCATCCCTAGCACAACCCTGGACCACATGTGGACCAACATTAACCCCCCCCATCCCTAGCACAACCCTGGACCACATGTGGACCAACATTAACCCCCCCCCATCCCTAGCACAACCCTGGACCACATGTGGACCAACATTAACCCCCCCCCCCCCATCCCTAGCACAACCCTGGACCACATGTGGACCAACATTAACCCCCCCCCATCCCTAGCACAACCCTGGACCACATGTGGACCAACATTAACCCCCCCCCATCCCTAGCACAACCCTAGACCACATGTGGACCAACATTAACCCCCCCCCATCCCTAGCACAACCCTGGACCACATGTGGACCAACATTAACCCCCCCCCCATCCCTAGCACAACCCTGGACCACATGTGGACCAACATTAACCCCCCCCCCATCCCTAGCACAACCCTGGACCACATGTGGACCAACATTAACCCCCCCCCCCATCCCTAGCACAACCCTGGACCACATGTGGACCAACATTAACCCCCCCCCCCATCCCTAGCACAACCCTGGACCACATGTGGACCAACATTAACCCCCCCCCATCCCTAGCACAACCCTGGACCACATGTGGACCAACATTAACCCCCCCCCCATCCCTAGCACAACCCTGGACCACATGTGGACCAACATTAACCCCCCCCCCATCCCTAGCACAACCCTGGACCACATGTGGACCAACATTAACCCCCCCCCCATCCCTAGCACAACCCTGGACCACATGTGGACCAACATTAACCCCCCCCATCCCTAGCACAACCCTGGACCACATGTGGACCAACATTAACCCCCCCCCATCCCTAGCACAACCCTGGACCACATGTGGACCAACATTAACCCCCCCCCCATCCCTAGCACAACCCTGGACCACATGTGGACCAACATTAACCCCCCCCCCCATCCCTAGCACAACCCTGGACCACATGTGGACCAACATTAACCCCCCCATCCCTAGCACAACCCTGGACCACATGTGGACCAACATTAACCCCCCCCCCCATCCCTAGCACAACCCTGGACCACATGTGGACCAACATTAACCCCCCCCCCATCCCTAGCACAACCCTGGACCACATGTGGACCAACATTAACCACCCCCCCATCCCTAGCACAACCCTGGACCACATGTGGACCAACATTAACCCCCCCCCATCCCTAGCACAACCCTGGACCACATGTGGACCAACATTAACCACCCCCCCATCCCTAGCACAACCCTGGACCACATGTGGACCAACATTATCCCCCCCCCATCCCTAGCACAACCCTGGACCACATGTGGACCAACATTAACCCCCCCCCCCATCCCTAGCACAACCCTGGACCACATGTGGACCAACATTAACCCCCCCCCCATTCCTAGCCTCTGGTACAATCACCAACAAACCAACCGACAATATCTACCATCCTCATAACAAACATGGACATAACACCTTCAGATACAAGAAATTAACCTTCAGACTACACAGTTAATCTCATAATCTTTAGGTAATCTCATCAATGCACTTCACAGTGTAAACTGGGAATCTGAAGTCAATAATACAAAGGACATAAATTCATTCTATGAATTTAGAAAACCAAAAAGCACCGAATTTCATCTTTATAGTTTCCCACCTTGTGCTACCCACTCATCCAATTTAGTACTTAAGACATTCAACGTCATCAATGTAATCTATTCTGTCAATTTGTAATGTAGCTATTATGTTTAACTCAAATTCTGTTTAGATTAAGAACTTTTCCTAAATGCTATGCGTGTTGGTGGCTTTGTAAGAATGTTACGCTCAAACCCCAATGTATGTACTTTATCAACCCAATGTACCTTCTTGTAGATAAATAAATATTGTATATGTTATACATACACTCCAGCCTCCCCTCCTTAGGCCTACCGCCTAACTTCTTTATATTAATGTTGTGACACTATGAAGGCTTAACACGGGCCCAGTAATAGACCATTGATAAATTATTGTTAACCAACAGGTCCCACTAGTGCAGTAATAGGCTGCCAGCTATTACTGCAATTTATACTTTATTATTTAGTCGGACTAGACAATAATGTACGTAATAATAATATGTTTTCTTATTTACCTGATTTAAACAAAGAGTCATTAGTGGCCTCAACGAGGACAGGAAGCGCGGCTTGTTAAAGATCCCCGCCATTTATCTTGATGATCTTTTCCAGTTTGACTTTAAAATTTCACTTTTTTTGGTCTTTACGACTTCGGCGGGTAGGCAGTTCCATGGGTTAATAACCCTGTGAGCAAAAAAAGCATCTCCTGTTCTCAGTCCTACACTGTTAGGTGTTGAACTTGAAACTGTTGCTCCTTGTTTGTATTGCATCTGACCTTCTAAAGAAATTGTCCAGATCAACATCCAAACTGTTCAGTATCTTAAGTTTCAATTAGAGCCGCCCTGCCATGCCTAGTTTGTAGTGTTGTTCGCCCTGTGGCTTTTTTTCTTTTGTATGGATATTCCTTTATTTGTTCCTGATCCGAGAGTTGACTTAACTCTTTTAGGTTCAGTTCATTTATTATGCACCCCATACCCATCCTGTGGACGGTAGTGGAGAGGGTTACAGAGGTGAATGATTTTTGTTGCCCGGTGTTGCACTTTCTCCAGAGCAGCTATGTTCTTCTAAAGATGTGGTCTCCATGCTTGGATACAGTAATCCAAATGGGGGCGCACCAGAGATTTATACAGCTGAATCACTACCTTCTTTTCCTTAAAGTCAAAGGTACGCTTGATTATTCAAAGGGTTTGGTTAGCTTTTTTGACTGCTGGGGAAGCAGTCAACCTGCCGTGCATCTTTAATTGAGTGGTGGATTTTGACTCCAAGGTCCTTTTCTTCACCAATCTGGTGTAACGTAATGTTATTAATTTGGTAGTTGTGTCATGGCTTGCTATTCCCCACATTCAGGGTCTTGCATTTGTCAATATTAAAAAAGCATTTGCCAGTCCTCTGACCATTTGTGGAGTTCATGTAGATCTCTTTGTAAGGCTTTAATGTCATTATCATTTCCCAATTTACCATAAATCTTTGTGTCATCTGTAAATTTGATGATATGGTTTGCAATATTCTCATCTATGTCATTGATGTATATGACAAAAAGGTTTGGCCCCAAGATGGACCCCTGTGGTACCCCACTTATCACACAATGAGCAACCGTTTCAAGCACAAGCCACATAATGCAGGACTGAAAACAGGTGTTGCTTTTTCAGTTTTTATTTTAGTTCAATTATTATGCACCCCATACCCATCCTGTGGGCGGTAGTGGAATGGGTTACAGAGACATATATGGCCTCAGGGACTGAAACCCAAAATGAATTTATCTAAGCAAGTTATTTGATGAGCTAGTTGCAAAATTTAATGCACATTCTCACATCAACAATGGGCTCGAGACCGAACACAAATACAGTTTCTAAATTAAGAAACTGGCATATGTGGAGAGCTAGTGTCACAATTGTTATGTTTATCCTGCACACCGCCCCTACCTCCCTGCCCATTCAGTTGACAGCAGTGGATGGGTTACAGTAAGTAAGTAATTATCAAAAGAAGGCACCAAACCGGGAAGGCTATGTAGTACCATCAAATGTGTGGGATAATCAGAGGGCGCTAAATATCACCAAGGATATCAATACGAGAACAAAAATGCATAAGGCGAACGATATCAAACGTATCCGAGTCGCCAAGAATTCTATCGAGGGACAAGCGGCCGCGAGGGACGGTCGGAAAACAAGACACACGCTCGTCCTGGAAGTCAGGACATTCAACAAGGATATGCACGACCGAAAGAGGGACAATGTAATTTGGACAATAAGGAGCAGGGCGGCGCTCCATTAAGTGACCGTGAGTTAAACGGGTATGGCCAATACGTAACATAGCCAGAGCCGTTTCCCACCGCCGGTTACGGTGGCAGGAGGAAGGCCACTGGGACACACGACTCTTAAGAGTACGCAGTTTGTTACCAATAACAGAAGACCAACAACTCTGCCAACGGGCAAGGAGGGAGGCATGAATAACTGGGTAAAAGTCGGAATAAGGAATACCTTTACGGGAGATGGGACAAATGCGGATAGCGTCCTTAGTGACAGCATCCGCACGCTCATTCCCAACATGGCTGGGAACCCAGCAAAACGCAACCGACTTAAATTTACTGGAGATAAGAAACAGCCAATGTTGAATCTCGATGACCACCGGGTGGACAAGATTAAAGGACCCTAAAGCCATGAGGGCACTACGAGAGTCAACTACCACCACGAAGGAGGATTGACACCGGGAAAGCAGGAGATGAAGAGCATAGAGAATAGCATAAAGTTCTGCTGTGAAGATGCTAGCCTCCGGAGGAAGGCGACACATATAAGTGTGGTCAGGAAAAAACAGAGTATCCCACACCGTCAGCAGACTTAGACCCATCGGTGAAGATGGGAACGGAGTGGGAGTGAGAAGAAAAGTGCTCAAGGAAGAGGCGTTTCAGAACTGTAGGAGGGGTAAAAGCTTTAGTGATGCGGGTCAGAGAAGTACAAAATTTGGGAAGGGGGACCCTCCACGGGGGCAAGGAGGGAACAATACGAGGAGAAACATTAGTAATATCATAATAGTAATATCTTTCATTAGAAAGAATCGACTTGAGAATGGTCCAGGACGGACCGAAACGTCGTCGACCCTTCAATTTCTAGTGTGTGGTCTGGTCAAGATACTTCAGCCACGTTATTGTGACTCATCGCCTGCAATAAGAACACTACCTTGGAGCACACCTTCATACTGCCGAAAAGAGAAACTTGTAAGCGAGACAAACGGACAGAAAGAGGAAGGTGGTGAACAGGAACTACAGGAGGGGTAAAAGTCAAAGCACAATAGAGGCGAGAGTGAGGATGTTGTAAGGATCGTGCAAGATAGCAAAGACTGTAGCGATCACGGTGGTCCTGGAGAGACAGAAAGCCAGTGTCAGCGTACAAGCTGAGGGTAGGAGTTGAACGAAAAGCACCTGAGCTGAGGCGCAACCCAGTATGGTGCAAAGGATCAAGACGGCGAAGAGTAGAAGGAGAAGCAGAAGAGTATGCAGGGCAACCATAATCGAGTTTAGACAAGACGAAAGAGGAAGGCAAATAGAGGAGCGTGCGCCTATCCGCTCCCCAAGAAGTATGGGACAAAACCTTAAGTAGGTTAAGGGCCTTAGAGCATTCAACACGGAGGTAAGAGACATGGGGCGACCAAGACAAACGAGTGCCAATGAATAACCCCAAAAGCTTCGTGGAATCTTTGTACTCAAGGGGATGACCATAAAGTGACAAAGAACGACATGCTTCCGAGTAAAAGTCATGGCACAAGTCTTAGTAGTAGAGAA